ATATGTCGACATATAAGTCACCTTATTTAAAAAGTCGAGATATATGTCGACATATATGTCGACATATAAGTCACCTTATTTAAAAAGTCGAGATATATGTCGACTTATATGTCGACATATAAGTCACCTTATTTAAAAAGTCGAGATATATGTCGACATAATAGTGGAGAAAAATAAAGCAACATGTCCCTTTAGGGGCTCCATATTATCCACTATTTAAGCCTTCAATTGCTCAAATTTGTTTTTGGTTATTGCCCAACCACCCCCTCAAATATCTAATGGCACGTCCCTAAGAACACTAATTGTGTCTAAGAAGCCAGCAACAAGCAATATTTCACGAAAAAAAGTGCTAAAAACCTCAACAACTGAAACCTTTGATCAAAAGCCAGAATTTTGATGCCACATCAAATTGTTGTGTCCAATCAGGTTGCAACCCGAAATAAAATGTCCAATCACAATCTAAACACTAGAACGGCTTCTGTTTGCTTGTTTACCTTTTCTTTTTAAAAATAAACCCCTAGAATATCGGCGGATTATGTCTTTGGATGAAAATGGTCCTCGGAATATCACATTCACCCTCGAAGTTACGCTTCTCGGCCAAATGTCCTTTTTTCAGATCAAGTTCATCTCGTTATGTTTATCAAAAATACAATTAATGTTTTCAAAGCTTGGAATTGGTTTAATTTTGATTATTTTTTAGTTTGCTTTTTTTAACATCTTTTTGTTTACAATATTGGGCCTGTCCTGAATAGAACAAAAGATTATTTTCTCTTCTCAAAAAGAAATATATTTTGAGTCATTTTCGATAAAAACATGAAAATCCGAAAGGGCTTGAATATTCCAATGCTAAAATCAATCTGATTTCGAATGCAAACATTGTTTTGTACTAATACTAGGAAGAATATTGTAAACGCCTAAATACCAGGATCATTGACAATTTATTTATCATCTGCTCTTCGTTTGAAGGATCACACTTTTCTAGTTTTCCTTGCTGGACCACGTGTAGCGTGCGCTTTCGGTTTTGACATGTGCCAATTGTATGTAAAATATTCAAAAATTTGCAATGTAAGTTGTTGGACTTACAATCCGCTATTTGTCTTTTTCTTTAATTTTTGGGGGTTTATGCTGTTGCTGAATAAACGAACAAATATTACAGGACCACGTGTAGCATGCGCTTTCGGTTTTGACATGTGCTGGTAGCTTAAGGTCTATGGTTCTTGTAAGCTCATGCTTATATATTTTAGATGTATTTTGATATATTTTTTTCAATACACTTCAAGTTTCCAATTGTATGTAAAATATTCAAAAATTTGTGTCACGTTACTGCGTGACAAGAGCTATGTAGAGATAGTATGTTTTCCTTTGGGAAAAATTATCTAATGATTGGTTTTGTGGCACGGACATTTTTATTCAARTTTATAAACTTATGAGTGTTGTTTGGAGAGAATATAGGAGAATCATTCAGAACACACAAGAAGAACGCACCGAAGACCGATTGCGGCTTCAAGTAGAGTAACAAGAGATRCACACAGCGAGTGGAGTGGCAAGAAAACTAAAGAAGGTGGAACAACCACGTAGGAGTGAACGTGCGGGCCAAAACGGCGATATAACTGCATCTCTGGAGCGTGGGCCGTAATAAAGTTTGGCACTCCCTGAAGCAAACGTGCAACTAACTAGAAACGTGGGTGGAACTAGCTCTGACGACCAACGTGTACGGGTTTAATGAAATAAGGACTGCCGCTTAAGGTGCACCGAGAGCGTGTGGACTGGAGTGAATTAATATATATAAGTCAATATTATTTAGCACATATAAAGAGAGAGCGTGACCATGTGAATGTTCGTGCGACAAAAAGCTACCATTTAGTTAGTGCGACATGTGTGAGGTTAGCTAAAATTAGAAGTTATCTATTACTTAGTTATTTATTTAATTAAACTTTGGTTGGAACCGTGACAATTTGCAATGTAAGTTGTTGGACTTACAATCCGTTATTAGTCTTTTTCTTCAAATTTTTTTGGGTTTGTGCTGTTGCTGAATAAACGAACAAATTACATCCGAAACGTCAGTAAGTTATTTCCCATACTTTTTTACCGTGTTAAACTTATCTTCTTTACACAACTGTTTCTTTAGAAACACCGACGCAGCTCACACTAGTTTACCGCTAGTTCCCACCAAATTACAGGTCTCTCTGAAATAGAAATTACCTGTAGAAACAGTACAGAAAATCTCTACTTGAGGTGTAATCACGTTGAGGGTAGCACGCACTTTTGGTTTTAAATTAAAAAACCTGACCAAAACACAACTCCTTTCCTTGAGCTTCACTATTGAATTATCCCAAACTAAGAAATATGACTTGGTGCGTATCAAATACTTCAACCTTCAGTAAAAAGGCATGCACTATATTTTCAAAGACCAATTATGGACGATTCTGGCGAGAGCAATTCGTTTCGGTTTCTCAATGGAAATGACTCTATTTGATCAAAATATGTAACATGCTATATTTACGAAACATTCCAGTAAAGATATTTGACAAAGTTTGTAAGAACTTTGAAATTTTCTTACCTTTTGATCGAAGAATTGAATGCAAGTCATGCAGACTTTCGAGAGGCCATTCCAACGAACAAAAGTTGTGAAAACTGTAGCATGTCAACTATCTTGTTTTATATAATGCGTACACAATTCCTGCATAAAAAAACGAAGAATGTTTGGAACACAATGAATTATTTATCCGACAGTTCTGGGATTCATACCTTTCATTTTTTTCGTGAAGCTGGTGGCTTTACTGTGAGTGATCCGGGAGCAAAGACCTAACGAAATAAGCTATCACGACAGACTGCGCGTTTTTTCGGGCAATGTCTGAAAACCAATCACAACGTGCGAGTACTGTTGTCAGCCAAGTCGCCAGCCAATCAAAACAATCTGGCGTCATTCATGGCGCGACAGAGACGAATTTACGTCAGATTCTTCGCAAAGTGTCTTTTATAGAGAGCTTCTTACAGTCTTTTAACAGAAACTCATAAGGGGATTGAAACGTGTAGCAACAGTACATTTCTTTGGTTCGATGCTCCGGAATATTCAAAACGCCAATGAATCAACTGAAGTCATTTTACAACCATATTTGGAACAATAATATACCTCATTCCATGTCCTTTGGATGGTAATCAGTTGATTTTGTACGATTTTCAGCTCTTTTGAGCATTTTAGCTACATTTTAGAACCATTTAAAACGAGACAACTTTTTGCCGCCGTCTGTCCGCCATTTTGTTTTCATCTCAAACTCAAATGTTTGGCCCAAATATGGTATCAAAATTATGCTAATCATTTTGAATATTTCGGAGCATCTGACCGTGCTACACGTTTCAATCCCCTTATGAGTTTCTGCTTTTAATACACATAGAGTGCAAATACTACACCCGAGAAAAAGAAAGTGACTAATAGGAAAGAGTGCTTAGATAGACAAGGCATTGCAAATCAGTGAGGCATGATAGAGGCACCTGTTTTATGCAAATAGACCTATAATTCGTTTGCCTTTCTATAAACTGAATCAAGACAGTAAAGCTAAAATACTCACAAAAAGAAAATAACAAGACGCTTGTCAGCGTGCACTCGGAGTTCTTTTTAGTGTGATCTCTTGACAACGTCTTTCATTTTAATTATAACTACAATTATATTCTTTGGTGGCGCCACATTTTGTTGTGAGATTGTCAACAATGTAGCTAAAAATTTCTTTCCCAGGAAAAAGAAAATCGTACAAGAACAGTATATTAATTTAGAAAAACAGACCCCAGTCGGCCCCTTGTGTAGTTTCATTTATTCGTACCGTGACCAGAAATATTGAATAATGAAAACTATCAGTAGCTTTTAAGACAGAAGGTAGTTCATGGCTTTGGATAGATTAATGGCTTGTGTATCATAACACAATAAGCTTGATAAATTCGCGGTTTCAAAAAGGTCATTTCGAAAACGCTCAACATCTTTTAGTGTGTCTATACCGCGAATTGTTTGTGGATTTGTAAGTGATTTGAGCATATTTTTTGAAGAAGAAACAATACCATAAGTCGATCGACGAAGAATGCAATAAGCACATTGGCACATGGCCAGTAGGATTCCCATGACGTGGGACGAGACAAGACGGGCTAGGAACGCCTGGCTAGTCTGGCCGCGATTTGGCGATGAATGCGAAAAAATAATATTATATTATAATAACGCCGAAACCTAAACTCGCGGTTCCACAGGAACCCCGAGTAAAAATATTTCAGACCCTTGAATACTTTGTGCTGTGTATGTTCTTAGGGAGGTATGATTATTTACTTGGGGGTGGGGTGGGGGGTTACTAAATTTGCACCGAACCCTGTTAAGGCCCTCCCTTGTAAGACAAAGAAAAAAATGTGGCTCTCCCTTGAATTGGGTACAAAAAAAGGATGACCCTCCTTCGAAATACATATACTAGATATTCCAATTAAAAATATATTGAAATAACGTTTTGTTGAGTAGACAACTGGCACATTTTATTCAGGGTTCGTTCATACTCCTTGAAAAGCCCTGGAAATGAAAGATTTTTATAAAGGGCATTTGAAAAGACCTTGAAAATACTGCTGGAAGCAATCATTTATGATAAGTAGGTCTAGAGGGTATCATGTAAGATGGTTTTCGACCATACCTCTCATTTTAAATTCGCTTTTTGAAAATCTTGCTATGCACCGATTTGTTTCATGTTTGGACCAGTATTACAACATTGACCAAAGTTTTGTTTGGCATAATATTTAGCTCTATCGACGTTACCTAGGCAACGGAATTTGCATTTGTCGAAATTCGTTTTTCTGAAATATCTCAAAAAATTGATGAGATCCAGAAAGGTGGTAGACATCATCATTAACTTCAAACTATTGCTTTATGTTTTGGAATTAAGGCTGTCCACAAGTTGCTCCTCAACTTGAATTTCGAGCAACTTTTTCACTTTTGAGCAACTTCCGTAAAAAATTCACATGAAAATATTTTTAAAATGGCAGAATTACTGGATGAGATGCTCGGCATCCAACTACCTGGTTTTGAGATCGATGTACCAATTAATTACGAAGCGGAAATGCCGGTCGAGAAGTAGAATCGCCGATTTGCCGAGTTGACAGACATCGACAAGATAGTAGAGGGAAAATAGTCGAAATCGACAAAACGATCCACCAAATGGTGTGTGTCAACATTCAAAGGTATTCTTTTAGTGTTGTAAGTCTAAAAATAACAACTAAACTTCTAAATTTGTCGCTTGTTGCAAACTGATATAAGTTTATGTAAACAAACAAAATGTCTGCCGTAAAAGTTGAAAATTTACAACATGTAATATAAGTAATAGAATTTAAAAATAGAAACTAATAATTTACCTTGTGTTTTAGCATGGTGTAAAGAGGAAAACATACAAACACCAATGGAGAGAATGGCAGTGGGCCAACTTGATACTAATTTAAGACGTTTTTACGCTGAAGCGCGTAAAAAGGACGGTCAAGAATATAGCAAGAAAACCTTGATTGGCTTTAGGCATGGCATTGAAAGACATCTAAACCAGCCACCAAATAACAAAAGTCTACAAATCGTCACGGATCTTCGTTTTCAAAGATCAAACCAGATGCTAGATGCAAAAATTGTTCAGTTGAAGCGAAGTGGGAAAGAAACCAGCAGCAAGCACAAGCCACCGATTGAAAGCGATGATCTTCAAAAGAGAAAAACATCAGAAGCACTTTCTATCAGCAACCCAGTTTCTCTACTACGTAATGTATGGTTCCACGTAGTGCTTTTCTTTTGTAGAAGAGGACGAGAAGGGCAGAGGCAACTGAAGACAACGAGCTTTAAGTTTGAGAAGGATGCGGCTGGAAGAAACTACATCACCATGACTCAAGACGAAATAACCAAATGCAAAGCCGTCATCTTCGTAGAAAAACTGACTTCAATTTTGCTCAAAGCAACTGAGAACATTTTTCTCTATTAAAGACTATCTTTTTGATGACATTTCAAGAATATTTTGTATCTTTTTACTTAGAAAAACACTATAAAAACTCGACGAAATCAGATTTGTAGTCGCGTCGGTAAAATTGGTTTCCCGCTTAAAAGTAAATATACTTGGGAGAATTTGTATTTCATTGTCAAACAATGAATAATAAAAGTTTTTAAAATTGTGTTTTTTTATTCATTATATTCATATAATAACAAATGCGTAAAGAGTTCCAAAAACGAGAATTTCTCTTTTAAATCATGAAAACAATGTTTGATGAAGCCGTACAAATCGATCATCGCACGCGAAATATCAAGAATATATGGTTTGATCAAAGACGATAAAAAAGCTGCATACGATATAAAAAAATAGCTGTCTATGTTATAAAAGGAATCGCGTCGTGCAGCTCTTACGCATTTTTTCGTGCTCAGCAAACTCCCGCGTGCATCTAGAACTGGATATACGCACAGCTAACCATGAACCATTCCTTAATTATTTCAGTTCATAAAAACATTGAGTCAACGAAGAACTGCATTCCAGAAAAAAGTTGCCCATTGAAAAACGGCCAGTTTAGAAATCGATCATACTTTGAAAGCTTTACTGAACTTGTTTTCATGATGCGTTTATGATACTGAAAAAAAAGAAACCTAACAGAAATAAATGAAACAATGAAGCTCTCACGCACAGATCATTGATCGGTCAAAAAAAATTCATTCAAGTTTATAATTTTAAAGCTTTTTTATTGTTTAAACCCAAGGGCAATTCTTCTATGGCCACTGGCGTCCCAGTGCTCCAAAATGCTCAGAGCCTCCAATCATATATAATTATGAACATAGGCTAACGATAGGGAATTCAGTCGACCAGAGCCCATAGATGACCGGGACCATGTCTTCAACCGGCGTAATGAGCTAAAACTTCGTTCACATGAGCAGCTTACGACAGGTAGACTGAGAATAAGTTGTAGTTGTAGGGGAGCAAGGATGGCCGAGCGGTTAAAACGCCGGTCTATCACCACTGTGGTCCTGGTTCGATTCCCGGTCCGGGACTATATGTGATTTGAGTTTGTAAGCTGGTTCTCTTCCTTGATCCGAGGGTTTTTCTCCAGGTCCGTTGGTTTTCCTCCCTCAGTCAAAAACTAGCTGTGAGGAGTGTCGTGTAGTAAAATAATGAATRTTGAGRWRGTGAGTATGAGTGAATATATAGAGGGCCACAAGTTTATTAGTCTAGAGACTATTACGTGCTACCCTCTCAAAATAAAAGACTTTTACTTACTTTTGTAGGATAGTTGGATAAAGAGTGCTGTCGCAACATGAAACAGACTCCATAAGTCAACTGACGCTCTTGTTGTTTTTTTGGGTTTCTTTCCATCTAATTACCTAGGTAAAAGATTCAAAAGCAAAAATAAAACGTTAAATGCAAACTATAAACAGCTATTAACAACAACGTGCATTGACATTACGTGTAACAGGTATTACCTCCTGCTCAAAAGATTGTGGCATGGGGAGGTCTTTATTGAACTCAGATTTAATTTTGCTTTCTTCTGACTGAGTCAGTTTGTCTAGATTGGCAGGTATAAGAAGGAACCCAGTAAGGCACCTGTGAGATCTTTTGGAAATCGCTCTTCCATGTGCCTGATAATATGGTCCAGAAAGGGGTAGAAGTAATTCAGCCTTAGAAATAACAAGCAAATAATTAAGAAAAAAACACGACTTGATTTTCTTACTTACATCACGATCACAAAAACGTAAATACCTGTAAAAATCATCAATTGATTCGGCACGTGCGTTTGCACGATGCACCTGTCTGCCAGCAGTTCTGGGTTTGGAAGGCAACACATCGATTGTTTGCATTACTGTGGTGGCTCTTTCGAACAGTATCTTGAACCTTTCCTCGCCCTGCCTTACGCCATTTAGAACAGACACAAGGTTTCTGGCTTCGTCGTGGGCTTTAATCAAGTCGCACAATTTTGACTGAAGTAGAACTGAAAGAGGTCGTGTATATCCTAGGATATATTGAGTGAGAACTGCTGAAACAATGCTCGTAAAAAGCCCGACGCATCATGGGATGCCTTCCCAGTTGATTGCATCATGACTTCAGATATCGCATCGTATATCCTTGAGTAATTCACCAGAAGCGTACTGATAGAATCAACCCGTGACAGCCATCGTGTGTCGCTCAAAGTTGGTAAGCATTCGCGGTTTGTGGCGGCCAAAAGGATTTCCTCTTCACGCTTCACGTGATCAATCAAGAGATCAGTAATGGTAGCTGAATCAGTTCTGGGTAGCGGTACAAACCTAAGGAAGACTTCATCGACTTCAACGTTGTTGATAACAGATGACATGTCAAGATATCGTACATAGACAGACAGTTGCTCTATCGTCGAGACATCAGTTGTTTCGTCCGCCATGATGCTGATGAACTTGCTCTTATTGACTTTTGAAACAAGGGTACTGCAAATGACCTCACCAAGACAATCTATCATTTCGTTTTGCACCTGTGGGGATAAATAGCGTGCGTTTTTTGCAGCCGAGGACAAGTGATCAGACAGGTTGTTGTCGTACTTTGCCAGCCAGTGAATAAAATATTCAAAATTACCATTATCTCTTTTAGCAGATTTGTCCCACCTTCCTCTGAATGGAATACCTCTTTTGGCCAGAAGAATCACCACGTCAAGAATAGAACAGAGGGCATCCCTGTTTTTCTGAACTCTATCTGAATAACTACGATTTAGGGATTCTTTGATGGACTCCTTCTCCTTTCTAGTAACGAGCATAAAGTTTTCAGCGGCCACCATTGAACTCCTGTGACACTTTGTCATCTCATGGTTTGTGAGAATACCTCTTTTGACACCTATCGCATTTTTCCAGTCCTTGAAAGGAGCAGAAATTAGTGGGTCATTTGAAGTAAACGACTTTGCAAAGGCATAACAGCATGAGCAGTATGTTCCATCTTCTGATTCCGAATAACGCAACCAAGGAAATTTGACCTCCCACTCAGGATTGTACTTCCTCTTCTGAGAATTTACAGGGTATTGCAATCTCTTTTTGGAGTCCACTGGCATCAAAATCTCTTTAATGTCTGCGTCATAGAGTTTATTTCTATTAAGTTTTCCAAGGTCATGAGGATCTGTATTTACATAAATAAGAGAAATGATAATAAGCTAGTTGCATGTTTATGTAGCATTAACAGCACTAACTGTTCTATATTAGTATTCTAGAATTAGTATAATATCCGAATAACAACATTAATGGCACTGTAAAAACTGCCTGGTTGAAACAACGAAAAAAACCCAACCAGAGGTAGCTAGTTACAATTTGGCTGAGATAACTGTTCGTCACTATACAGTAGCCAAAAAAATCATATAGAGTTTTTTCGTATCCCTTGAAATTCACCGTTGAATTTCACTTGTGAAATTTCACATGCAAATTAGCTTTGTGGACCACACATTCCAACCTACGTGCCAACAGAGCTTTTGTGTTCGTTTTATTCACTCGGCTGTTTTAACCAAACAAAATTGACATCATTTTCTTATCGGCTTATTTTTATTTATTTTTGTCATGTCAAGAATAATACAAACTGAAACTTAAAGTTAACGTCAAGTAATTAACCATTACACACGCCTTAATGCACGTCGTACACCAGCAGTAATTCGCCGTCTACGATTCGTGAGAGCCATGACCAAGTTGGATACGATACTCACTCTCCACCTTCTGTGCCTAAACCGACTTGACACGCATCTATAAACCTTTAAATCGTTTATTCTATGTTCAACTCTTACTCTGTATCTTGATAAGACACCATTAAAGAAGTGCATGTCAGGTGTTAATCGTCTACCACCACGGCGAGAAAATGGGACTAATAAAGGATTTCCCGTAGGATAACCTCTATCAGCTAATATATAGCTTCTTCTTGGTAGAGCTAATGTACGGTTATACCCTATGTTTGGCATCATTAGATAGCTATCGGCATCTACTAAATGTCCTAAAAAGCCTGCTTGACCATAAGTAAAAAACCCATTTGAATCGACAATGACCTGCCAATTTATGAAGTGATATCCACGATCTCCTCTATAATAGAGTCTTTGAAGATTGCCCTGCGGACGGTTAATT